CTGGGATGGGGCAGTGGGTGGAGCACCAAATCTAGAGTCCAATAATTCTGGGACTGAATCAAGACTCCCATTCACCAGCCATGTGGCCCTGCTGCTCCTTTAATCATACTGAAATTTAGTTTCTTCATATGCAAAATGGGGACAAAACCCAAAGACATCCTTTGTGGAAGCTCCTGACTCCTGGGGTCCACTCCTATCTCCCAGCAAGGGGAATTGACTCAGTGGTTCTGAGCTCTCAAAGGGGATTAAAATAGCTTTAAGACAAAAGTTCAGATGGGCGGCCAAACTGTCACATGGCCATTACACTTAGATGTAGGGTGTGAGCTCAGAGATCTGTCAGGATTTGTAGAAGTAAAATTATTTGGGGCAATACGCTGCTTTCATAACAGGGCCAGACCCTCACCGATGACCCCAAAGATGCCCAGGATGTTTGGGGCAAAGATGACCAGCAGGTTGATACAAGTGAGCAGGCCAATGGCGATTAGTACGTGCCGCAGCCAGCTGAAATCCTGGTCTGGAAATAGCATCTGCTGGATGGCACGGCGCACCTGGGGGCAGGGGGGAAGAACCATCAAGCTGTCAGTCCCATTGGCCTCTCCCCCATTGGTCCAGCCATCTGCCCACTGGCTTACCGGGAACAGAACGATTGGCACTGTGAGTGTGACTGCTGTCAGCACGGCCACACGCACACACAGGATCAGCACATCAAATGGGTCCACTTTGCTGTAGGTGTGCAGCAGCTCCGACTCCACCCCATCTGTGGCAGGCAGGGTGGATGGTCAGCAGGTGTCCCAGGAGGGAGGTGGGATCTGAGCTGCCTGGTGGACCCTGACACTGTGGTGAGTGGCACTAAGACTCACCTCCACCACTGCAGGGCACAGTCAGGCATCACACACCTAACGAGTGCCTGCAGTATTCAGGGAACCATGACCTGTGACCAGCCCCTCGTCCCCCAGCCTGGCCTTGGCCTCTGCCAACTGGTCCAGCCATACCGTAGAAGGTGAGGTAGCCGAAGAGGGCAGCCAGGAAGTACATGACATACATGACGGCGATGGAGAGGTTGGAGATGTGCTGCATCTTCTTCTTGGAGGGACTGTGGGGCAGCAGGGGATAGGGATTGGTGACAAACTGGGCCACACTGAGGGACCCAGTCAGAGCTGAGGGAGTTTTCTTCTTGCTCCCAAGCCCTCTTCATGGCAGCCACTGCAGTGTGAGATAAAGTGACTTGGCTCCTGTCACTCCCCTCTCCACACCCAGGACCACATCCATCCTTCCCAATGGCTCAAGGCAGCCCTGCCCCGTCTCCCAGCCGCAGACACCTACTCCTTGAGCTCTGTATAGATGGGCAGCACCTCAGGGTGGCAGACGAAGGCGAAGGCCATAATGGGGATGGTGTATGCTGTCTGGGGAAACATGAGACTGTGTCAAGGCAGCCCCCCGCTCTCATTCCCCCACCATGTCCCTCTCTGGTCTGTCAGAACCTGTGAGTTGAGTGTGAAGTAGCTCGGAGCGCAGAGGTCTGCAGCCTCAGTCTCAACCTGCAGCTGTGCCTTCTCCTCAATGACTTCCATGTGGCTGAAGTTGCCTGTGACATTGGCAAAGTTGGAGGGCAGTGGACAGGGCACGTGGAACTTTTTGTAGATGACCTGGGGTGAGGAGGGATGAGGGTTTCAGAGCCAGGCTAGGCTGCCTGGGAAGTCACTATGAAGCCACATCCAGATCAAGACTGGAGGGGCTGCCTTCTGGCCCAGGCTTCCCCAAGAGACCTGCCCCCTCCTTTCTGACAGAGAACCCCCTGGGGAAACCTTTCCCCTTCTTTGACCAACATGGATGGTGACTCACTGCAATTAGGAAGAACACCATACAGCTGAGAGAGAAGCCGCTGGAGTAGCCTAGGTAGCCTGCAAAGTGGAGGGGGAGATGTGAGACTGGGGACTCCTCCCATATGTCCCTCAAGCATCCCCTGCAAGGCCCTGCCACACTCACCAAGCTGCCGCATCAGTGCCAAGGGCAGAATGATGGTGACAGAGACCAGTATTACCAGGTA